AGAGCATTCAGCTTAATATTAAAAACTCTGGCTACCAAATCAGGTCTGTTTTCAACTTTTTGCCAGCATTGTAAATTGTTTGCAATATCTGCCCATTTGGGGTTGCATGTCATGGTTACGAATAAATCGGGCTTGCCATACTTTGTTACAATTGCCATAGTATCCTGATATCGCTGCTGCATATTTCTGGGACTACCCTCAGAAGATGATGGAAGTATTATCATTTTACCAATTGACACATTGTCATTTTTCAGATCTAGATTTGAGATAATCCATCAAACCACTATATTTTTCGGCTCTCAACTTAGATTGGCTTGCTTTGATGAAATTTATCCGATTGGCCTCCTTTTTTGAATACGAATCCATGATAAACTGTTGAGTTAATTTTCCTGCATTTAAAATAGGATTGAATGTGAAATGAAATCCATAATACTGCATTTGTGTGACTCGTGTCCTTACATTTTGTCTAGTATTATTGTCGATTACACTGTCGTCTCTGAGTCTTAATGCAATATCTGTTCCCCAGCCTTTTTCACCATGTGGAAAAAGGATAGGATATGTCATTGCATCTAATGTAGGAAACAGGGTATTGATTTGTTTCATTTTAGTGGCATTTGGATTATTGGGATCTGGTTTACAGTGAATGAGCAAGTCCCTTTCAAAAGGAGGTTTTCCATCTTCGTTTCTGAATATGACAGCAACCTCAGTTACACGGGGAGAATTATATCTACCTGGGTCACTGTTATGCTCATATTTAATCGCCATTGTTACTTCTGTGGGAGCAATACCTTTTGCTGCTGCTTCAGATTGGGCTTCCTTTTCTACCTCATGTAGCATCTTGTACGATTTTGTTAATTCACTTATTTCATGCATGAGGTTGTTGATGTTGATCATGAGTCTTTCTGAGCAGCCCTGGTTTTCCGGCATTGCTAATCTTTTACTTGTAGCTTTGGCTGTATCCAATATACAGAGTTGAGCAAACTTCCGAGAAACACCATCCGAAGGATGTAAAGTTCCAGTATGGTGATAAACTTGTCCGTGTATTCTAAAACAGTATGGCCCATATCCTGATGGTGATGCAGTATTTGCACCCATGGAAGCAAAAGCAAAAGAACTATTTATGGAACGAATATTTTCCATGAAATTTTTACTGTCAGAATCTTCGTTTGTCATTAATCTTTTTAAATATGCCGAGTAATCTGGAAAATGTATATCATTTGGACAGACTTTCCCTTTGCTACAACATCTAGTAAATTTCTCATCGGATGGTTTTTCATCAGAGAAATTTAGTGATAGGCAAAATTCACATCAAACAGTCATTCCATCACAACTGTGAGGATTGCATTGTCATGTACCCCATTTTCGCTGAGAAGGCAGTTTCTACCGGTATTCATAGTACTTGTTGATGACTGTTCTCTAGATATATTCTGTCGTCACCACCGCCTTCTTTCAACTTCAAAGGCACGTTGGTCTTTAGACATTTTCTGTCGATAACGCCAGTGTTTTTCGGCATCAGAGCGACGTTTTTCCCGTAGCTGGTATTCAGATACATCCTGTCGCAGGCGCCACCTTCTTTCAAGATCAGACGCACGCTGCTCTGCAGACACTTTCTATCGATAACGCTGGCATCTTTCGGCTGCAGAGCTATGTTGTATCAACAGTTCTTCTTTGGACTTAGTCCCACCTCCCTACTGTCACAGTCTGAGATGCAGGTGAATGAGAATCCTGGCTATCAGGCTGCTGAGAGCTGTTTGACCAATGGCTGATTCTGTGGGAGTGGGACTTTCTCCTCCCTGCTGTCAGTTTCCACAGTTGTGATGGGGAAACTGGGGTGACAGAGGAAGCCGCGCCCTCCAAGCTGCCCTTTCTCTTGCTCTGTGTCCAGTGGTCTCCTGCTCTGCCAAGTCCTCCAAACCTCCTGCTCTCCGCCAGCAAGGTCCCAGGAGCCCGCGGGCTTGGCTAGGCACAGGTGGCCTTGGCTCCCTGACCCGAGAAAGTCCTGGGAGCCCGCGGGCATGTCTTGGCGCACCTCCCGGGGCTGGCGAAGGTCCTGGGGGCCTGCGGCCGTGGCTGCCGTTGCTTCCTGGGGCGGTTGACACTTGAGTAAGCAAATTAACCGCCATCTTTGTCAAATAATTTGCATAGTCACTCGGATTGGCTTGTGGGCGTGGCTTGTGGGCGTGGCTTGTGGGCGTGGCTTAGGCGTAGCAGAGGGATGGTTAATTTGCATGTTTCTTTCTTATTATATAGGATTGTCAGCAGTATGGGAGAGCAGCAAGTCATTCATAAAAATCTGCTCTGCAGCCCCCCATAAGCCAGCTGCTTATATAGGGTAGGACAAAGATTACATGGGAAAGTAGGATATTACAGGCATGGGAAGTAGACTATGCAGGCTGGGGTGGGACTTCATTGTTTGGACAACAAGGTGGTTAATCTTACCATGATAATAGGCAGGTCTTGAATGAGAATGAACCAAATTCCAAGGTTGACTCCCAAGTCCAAGGTTGACTCCCAGGTCTCGGGGGCATACAACTTCCAGCCAAGTTAGAATGTCCTTTCTTTAACCAGAACAAAGCAATCATGGTTAATCCAGTTAACTGCCAAGATATTTTTAATTTAATTTAAAAAGATCCACCACTTGTGTCTATAGACGCTTATGGTGTGCAAATGGTTAATAGAGCATGATTAATATTTCCCATAACCATAGCTAGTCCCCAGTATTATATTTTTACCCCTAACATTAGGGTTGAGAATTAAATGTTTGATCAAACTTTTAATTTGATAATTTTATATGGTCCTTGAATTATGTTATAAATATCTAAATGGCCTTTGGCAGAAAAAAGATTCCCCACTCCTGATTTATTAGGAACAAGCCAGAAATTCAACACCTGTGTAAGAAAGTTTTACCCAGATACTCAAGCTGTGGATTTAGAAATGAAATATATAACAATGAAGTATTCTTGCCTTGAGTTGAATATTTATTAGTATCAGTTTGTGGAGATTGGCTTTATTATAGATTACATAGTCCAGGAAACATCTTGGGACAGCCCTGGATATCACATGCTCTAACCAGAGTCAAACAGCTTTGTAATTTCTGAGAGGTAATGGTGATATGGAATTTTTGGACTGGAACCCGGATTCTTTGTCCGCCGGAGTCGAAGAATGAATCCACGGACAGAAGGTGGTATAGCAAAGGTGGAAATTTATTAAAGAACAAGTACAGACTCCCACGTGGGGAAAGGGAAAGATTCTCACAGCACAGACTCCCACGTGGGGAGGGGGAAAGAGTCCCACAGACTTTCTGTTTCCATGGTTTATAAAGGCTGCAGTTCCTGTGTCCTGATATCCCCTCTGATTGGTCAATATTCCCTTTTGAATTGGTTACTATAGTTACTCCTGAGGCCATCTTCCCTCATTGTCCTCTCATTCCTTCTGGGCTTTCTTCCTCCTTTTTTATTTTGTAAATATAGACCTCTTGGCTACTCCCATCTTATGTAGATATAACTGTTGCCTCTCCCTTGTGTTATGGAGATGTACCTGTTACTGCTTCCTTGTCTTACATAAATATAACTGCACCTGGCTTCCTTGTGTTATGGAAATGTACCTTCTTCCAGTCTGTAGCCCTGTGCTTTCTCCATGGACCCCAGTTCTAAAAGTTCCCTAAGCCTGCTTATATTCCCCTAAAATTCCTGTTTCAATGGTTTCTTTCTTGATCTTTCCAAGTGGAATATTTTCAAGATGATTGTCCATTTCTGAAAAGTGTTATGTGAAAACCACAAATGAACATTGTCTTCCCGTCTTTTTCAGATAGTGATGATCTTCAAATTGAAGGCTCTGGAAACTTTTGGTTCTCTATAGGAACTACAAAAATTGAAGGAAAGAAAATGTTTTAAAGGAAATTGTTTGGAAACTATGTTTACAACTAACTGATACTGTTCAGTTTTTAAAAATAAAACCCTTTAAGAAGATTGTACTTATGGTAAGAAGAAACGACTTAAAATGAGGCCAAAGACTTTTCCTGCCACAACTTACTCTGGAAACAGTCGGCAACGACTGCAGGAGATTCGTGAGGGGTTGAAGCAGCCCTCGAAGTCTTCCACTCACGGGCCATCTGTAGGACCAAGCGACACTTCCCTGGACACCAATGTCCTGGGGGGCAAGGATATTGCTCGTCAGCAGCAGCCAAGAACTGCCCCAAAGTTTGGCCCGTACCAGAAAGCCCTGAGGGAGATCCGATACTCCTTGTTGCCTTTTGCCAACGAATCAGGTCCCCAGGCCACTGCAGAAGTGAACCGACAGATGCTGCAGGAGCTGGTGAACGCTGGCTGTGACCAGGTGGGTGAGATCCCAGGGGCTGTGTGGCCATCACAGTAAGGGTTCCTCATAAAGGTGCTTTGAGTGGTTCACTATTCAGAGAAGGGTTTCCAAGTTATCCAAATTAGACCCTTTCTCTCCAAAAGGGTCTTCTCTCCGCCCCCCCGCCCCCCAAAGGGTCTTTTTAGCTGCTTTTCCTATCCAGGCAAGATCCAGAAATTTCTGAATTGGGCCACGTGTATGTCCTGTTTTGTCCTTGTGAAGGGCTCTCACATGGAGCTCTTTCTGTGGGGTTTAGTTGGGCTTATTCTGAACTGTCATAGGGAAGAGGAGAATGGTTTCCCTTACCTTGTTTTTGGTTTGTGCAAAAGGGGAAGTTTGATTAACACAAATTGGCAATCCTTGACTGTTTTCTGCTATTTAAAAAACAGTTGATATGCCATTATAGGAGATGCAACTATGTTACATCTAACTTCGCATATTAAGAGAAAGACTAGAGAAATCTTTGAAATGGTGGCAACACAGACTGATTTCTCAGTTGCTTAAGAACAAGGGACACATTAGTGGAGGTGGTACTGATCATGCATAAATACACAATTTATAGCTATACCTTTATGATACTGTTAGCAGTTCACAAAGCTAAATAAAACCCAGGTTGAGGGGCAGGGCCATATAAAATGGAACCAGTGATCACTTCAGCAGCACGTATACTAAAATTAGAATGAAATAGAGAAGATTAGCATGGCCCCTGCACAAGGATGACATGCAAATTCGTGAAAAAAATTCTATTTTTTTCTTTTTCTTTTAAACATATTTTTATTGATTTTTAGGGAGGAAGGGAAAGGGAGAGAGATAAGAAACATCAATGATGATGTTACAGAAGACCAAAGAAATACCAAGCACGCTTCCTAGAGAAAGGGAGGGACCCCGTTTATTAACACTAGTGGATTCTGAGAATAATTTCCAAATCAGAGTGAAGAAACACGCAGAGGGCTTCACTTTTTATAACCTTCTGGGGTCTTTGTCTTGCAGATATAGTTCCGCCCCCTTTCATGGGCTTACAGGAAGGCCCCCAGGTGTTGGGGGTCCCCAGGCCATATCCGATGATCTGTCCTGAGGCCAGCGATAACGACCTTCCCCCCTCCCCTCAGGGCAGTGCATTGTTCACAGTTTTTATGGCCCGACACACCTTTCCAGACCAGTTTCCTCCTCAGTGAGAGAGAATCATTGATTGGCTGCCTTCTGCATGCCCCCTACTGGGGATAGAGCCTGCAACTTGGGCATGTGCCCTGGCCAGGAATTGAACAGAGACCTGGTTCACAGGTGAGTGCTTAACCACTGAGCCATGCCAGCAGACAGAAGTGTTCCATATTTTTATTGGTGATTACAAAGTAGTCACAGGGATGTAAAGTATAGCATAGGGAATAGGTGCTAGGTAGGTACTAGAAATGTTGTGCGGGAGGGACGGACACTTTCTAAAGTATATGATTGTTTAACCATTATACTGTGCAACTGAAACTAATACAATATTGAAAGTAATATTGAAAGCAAGCTGTAATTGAAAAGTAAAAATAAAACATATATACAAATAAAATGGAACCAGGGTTGAGCCAAGGTAAAAATTAATTAGTAAAATGTAACTAGTAAAAATGTAGTTCCTTTATAAAATGACTACTGAAAGCAAGTCCTTAATTACCATCTGTCATTGTTGTATCACAAATCAGTGAGCTGGACAAGACACCTAATGAACCAATTAGTTAGGAGTCATCTTTATTGCGTGCAGGTTCAGAGCAGATTACCTCTGTCAAATTCTGAATAAACACAGGAGGGAGTATTTCCTTTTTATACCCTTCTAGTTCTTTGTGTAAGACAGCTTATAATCTTGAGTACATATTGTATCTAATCAAACACCTGTCATATCTATACAGACAACTTGTAACTTTGAGTACCATATCATATCTATACAGACACCTGTAAGCTTGGATGAACAAACACTTGGCAAATATGTGAATTAATATCAGTATCAGTGTATCAGCCCCTTTAGATGGCTAGCTTGCAAGGTCAGACAGTTAAGTTTATCTTTTCTATTCAAACAAAAAAACAAAGTTATTTTATAGTCTAAAAATAACAGAGTTGACCTATAGAATAAGAGACTGTCTAAGAATAACAGAGTAGTTTAAACAGCAGTTTCAAACAGCAGTTTTCCAAAGGCGGGATTACTATGCTTCATCATCTGAAAAGTCACAGTTGCATGAATTTGGAAATAACTTAGGTATTTTTGCTGCCTTGGAAAATTATGATTTCATGGTCTAAGCACATCAGGATGGCTTCAGCACTTTTGGTTTCTTAGAAATATTCTGAGTATGCACTCCTGTCATCACAGTCACAGGAAAAGGCTAACTGCCCTCTGTTATGTCCCAAAGTAATCGCAACCCTCCTGTTGCAGTTTATTACTATAGAACTTACCTAGAGAATTTACATGTTCATGAAATGAACCACGTATTTTGTAGGGCTTTCCTTGACACTTTGGGATATACTGTGACTAACTTGTGTATAGAGAGCATTGTTATGTTGAGAGTTGCTTTTATGAAGCCCAGAGTCATGAATGATGTAGTGTGGAGTATTCCAGCAGTGGAAGCTGACAGCAATGGCATGACCTTTCTCATTCTGAATATATGAAGTTAGATATGCTGTCAGGTACTGCCCCTGCTGGACTGACATTGCTGAGACTTGCAACACAACAGTAAAGCTAAAACTCTTCTCCTGCAAATCACTTGCCAACAAAAGAGGTACACAGAGCTAGGTATTCTTTGCAGTTGTGTTTCAGCTCTGACAAAAAGAAACAACTCAAACAAATAATCAAAAATACAGGTGGGATCTCATTGTGGTAAAATCCATTAGTGATGATTACAGTGCAAGAAATAAAGCTGGTGTTGTTTCTAATACAGTAAAATACAAGTACAGTTAAATTGAGGATCACGACACCAGTAAAGTTACCATAATCATTTAATTTATGTTAATTGATAGTAGAAAAGACTCCGTTTACCGTATTTTAATACTCTTGAAATAATTCAGTCAGTTGGGTGTATAGTGTTACTTTATAAAACTTAAAATAGCTGTGCCTTCACAGTTATTCTCCAACTCAGACTCTTGGTTCAATAGAGGTTGCATTTGCTTTCAGAGAATTCTAGTCAGAAAGTAACTCACTCTGTGAACCCAGATAATGTGAGAGGAAAAGATCAGCAGCACCTCTAAAGCAGTATATACTAATATCTTGAATAAAGCAGATTGTTCCAATTCCAATATAATAGGTACAGGGAATTCCTATTATTGGAGCGATTCCCCTTTGTCTTCCATTGTAGTGCCTTTTAATTGAGGTGGTTTTGCTCTCTTGTAGTTTGAGTCTAAGTAACATTTTAAACCTTATATAGCAACTAGAGGCCTGATGCACAAAATTTGTGCAAGAGTAGGCCTTCCCCTGGCTTCCCGCGCCTGCTTCCCTATGGCACCTGGGACCGGGGCTTCCCTCCAGCTGCTGGCAGGCACCTGGGACCTGGGTTTCCCTCACAGCCCCAGCTTCGTCTGGAAGGTCGTCTGGAAGGACATCCGGTTTAATTAGCATATTATGCTTTTATTATTATAGATTACTAGAGGCCCGGTGCACAAAACTTTGTGCACTTGGGGGGGGGGGTCCTTCAGCCTGGCCTGTGCCCTCTCCCATTCTGGGCCCCCTCGGGGGATGACCACCTGCTGGTTTAGCCCTGCTCCCCGGGGGATTGGGCCTAAGCTGGCAGTCAGACATCCCTCTGGCAGCCCGGCAGCCCTCGGGGGATGTCCACTTGCCAGCAGGGAGCAGGCCTAAGCTGCAGTCGGACATCCTTAGTGCTGCTGAGGCAGGAGAGGCTCCCACCACCACCGCTCTACTGGCAGCCATCAGCCTGGCTTGTGGCTGAGCAGAGCTCCCCTTGTGGGAGTGCACTAACCACCAGGGGGCAGCTCCTGCATTGAGCGTCTGCCCCCTGGTGGTCAGTGTGTGTCATAGTGACCAGTCATTCCCAGTCTTTCTGCTGTTAGGGTCAGTTTGCATATTACCCTTTTATTATATAGGATAGAGGCCTGGAGCACGGGTGGGGCTGGCTGGTTTGCCCTGAAGGGTGTCCTGGATCAGGGTGGGAGGCCCGCTGGGGTGCCTGGCCAGCCTGGGTGAGGGGCTGATGGCTGTTTGCAGGCTGGTCAAGCCCCCCCCAGTGAGGACCCTCACCCCATGGAGGTTTGGCCAGCCTGGGTGAGGGGCTGATGGCTGTTTTCAGGCTGGCCACACCCCCTTTAGGGTGGGGGGTCCACACTGGGGTGCCTGGCCAGTCTGGGTGAGGGGCTGAGGGCTCTTTTCAGGCTGGCCAAGCCCCCTGGCGACGGAAGCTCCTAGCCTTTTCTTTTTTTCTTTTTCTTTTTTTATTCTGGAATTTATTTACCTTCTATAATTGAAACTTTGTTGCCTTCAGTGGAGCTCAGAGCTGGTGGGAAGCTTGGCTTCCTCCATCACTGGCGCAACCAAGCCTCCTGCTCACTTCAGCTCCGTGGCTTCCAGCCGCCATCTTGGTTGAGTTAATTTGCATATAGTTGCTCTGATTGGCTGGTGGGTGTGGCTTAAGGCATAGCAAAGGTACAGTCAATTTGCATGTCTGTCTTTTATTAGATTAGATTATAGATCAGCCGTGGGCAAACTACGGCCCACAGGCCGGATCCGGCCCGTTTGAAATGAATAAAACTATTGAAAAAAAAGACCGTACCCTTTTATGTAATGATGTTTACTTTGAATTTATATTAGTTCACACAAATACTCCATCCGTGCTTTTGTTCTCGCCCTCCGGTCCAGTTTAAGAACCCATTGTGGCCCTCGAGTCAAAAAGTTTGCCCACCCCTGTTATAGATGGACTCCGTGTTTTCCTCATTATAGGTGTTTAGTGGTGATGCACACTTTCATATGCTGTATTCTGTCTGTTGCACATGCATACATATAAATACACTTTTCCATTTTATTTGGACTAAGTCTTATTGAATATATTTGAGTGTTTATAGATGAGTTGTTTTTTTTTTTTAATTGTTACAATGAAAATTATGTAAGAAAAATACATGATTCTTAAGCATATAGCTCAGGGACTATTTTACTCAGCAAATTATACCTATGTAACTAGCAGGTATGGGTAGATTTTTAAATAGCAATTTCTGGAAAAGTAAAGGACTTTATAAGTATTTTCTATGTAATGACATAATGTAGATGTCAAATGATACAATGTTCATAAATGTTTTGCACATAAATTACTAAAGACATGAAAATTTTTGTGGGGAAAAAAAAACAAGGCCAATAGACTAATCCTTAAGGAAGGAGCTGTTATTTAAATATAGATGTAAGGAAGTGGAAAGATAAGTATTTTGGTTAGAGTATCATTGGACACTTTAATTACTGAAATAAATAATAACTTCTATTTAGCTTTTACTTTTTATTTTATTTACTAGGGACCCAGTGCACAAATTTGTGCACCTTGAAAGGAACTGTGGGCTGCAAGGCTGTGGTAGGCACAGGGGCAGGTCCTGGCCCATCCTCCGTGCCCCTGCCCAGCCACTCCTGCCACGACTCCTGGTCCCCTGTCTGCTAGCAGCCCCGCTCCTGCCACTGCTGCCGTTGCTCCCATGCGCTGACGGTGCCGGCCCCACTTGCACCCGCTGACGGCATGGAGCGATTGGAGCTGGCGCCAGCAGTGGGTGTGAGTGGGACCGGGGCCGGCAGTGGGT